GACGCCCTCTCTCCCCCGCCAATCAATCAATAAAATAATCCATTAAAGTTGAAAAAAAGTGTGAGCACATAGACCCGTGCGTGTGAGAGAGAGAGTGTGTGTGTGTGTGCAGGGGGAGGGGGGCGATCCCCCCCAATAAATAAAATGAATAAATAAAATAAATAAATAAAATAAATAAATAAAATGAATAAATAAATAAATAAAGGATAGAAACTTCAATCAAAAAAATTGAACGATTGATTGATTGATTGGTTTGGGCTTGTGGATAACGGTGACCCCGACGTAACCAATTAATCAATCAATCAATTAGTAAACAAATATATCTAAAAAACTTTTTTTTAAAATGGATAAAATTAATGGGGCGTTTCAATTCTTTTGCCCCCCTATCTTTTATAAATGTTTTTTTTTTTTTTTTTTTACTCAACAGATCAACGTGAAATTTTAGGCGTAGGTGCACGAGGATGTGGGCAATTTACCAAAAACAAAAACAAAAAACAATTGACCCCGAACGCCCCCTGAACTATCGAACGTTTGGGGTTCGTCCCTGGAGCCTCCGAACATACGGTCCAGTAATCATGTATATGTGTTGTGAATATTCTTTGAGAAAATTTATGTTACAACCCTTAAAGTTGAGATATATATGAAAATGTCCATAAAATATGTTGGTAGAGTGAAATGCCCTTCTGACTTCAATTCTTTGTAATATGTCTTTGTCAGATCGGTGCCTAACGTTGCAATCTACACCTCTCCATTGGGGGTTAGGCATGTACCTTGATTTATCTGGTTTGCCCTTCCTAAGTGATGGCGAACTTTGCAAAATACCTAGGCCTCAGGCGCAATAATCTGGGACTCTAAATTCAAACATTCCAAATGAGTGCACACTGCTCGAGGTCGGTCGCTTCACGTTGGGTTAGGAAGTTTGTCTTGGTCCTGGTAAGTTCCTTCATCTTCAACCTCCTCCTCCCTTGTCATTCCTCCAAGGTCCCCTCCCTATATATGTTTTTTTTTGCGCGCTATCACTCTTTTTCTAGCCAGTCCACTTCGGGCGACCAGAAAGACAACAGGGTGTCATGCAGGATTTTGGAGACTTTTCTAATGAATAAATAATTTAAGAAAAGCAAATCCCTTCCTGTTGTGTGTGTCCGGCTTCGAGTGAGACCGTTCAATTCTGGTCTTCGCCGGTCCCCGATTTTAGGATTTTTTAATTTTGATTCGGAACAACAAAGATCATGCAAATGATAATTATTAAATTTTGGTATGCCATGCATGTATCAATTTTGTTAGTTTACTAATTTTGAGGACTGTGACAAGATCATCAGGAAGCACAATCATCAAGCAAGTCAACACAAATGAGGAAGAACTGACTAACTTAGGACATAGGCAAGACAAATCAGGAAAAAGTGAGAACTCATAATAATCTCATAAAGTACAAATGAATAGACATCGCCAACACTTGTCGGGAGTCCTCACTCATCCCTCTTAAGTCTCATCCTCAATCTCTCATTTGGTCGTGCATCTCTCGTGCCTTGAGCCACACCTATGTATTTCTTGTGATTGTGGCCTAGAGATGTAGAGCCACCTGAATCCTGCAAGTTCCGAACAATTTCAACCAAGACCCATGATGCGGAAGTCAACCATAACACAAAATTTCTCTCACATAGTAGAAAGATACGGGTGGGAAAAAAATCCCTCATCTTAGATGTTGAAACTTCAAAGGTTTGGTCACTGCCTCAAAGTTAATATCTGCTAGAGAGATGTACCTCTTGGCTAGATCCACCAAATCGCCCCAATAAGAACCATTTGTGAGGAGGAAATATATTGGGGGGCTATGGTAGTCAGGGTAAAAATTGGGTTCGAAGCTACGAATCAATTTCGTGCCACTTTCATAAGCTCCTTCTCCTTTACCTCAAGATATTTTGTTGTTGAGGTCTAGATTGAATCAAAGTGCTCGTGGGTTTCCTTGTCTTTCTTCACATAGATTCTCAGGTCATGAGTGGTGCCGCCTGCTAATCAGTTAGTATAACAAAGATTTACAGACTTCCTTGTCCGAGGCCAACGACATTGACGTATTGATACTGGACAACATCCTTGAGGACTATCTACTTTAACCTGGGCATGACTGATTCACTTGCAGGGAATGACTGAACTATACTCATGGGCAAAAATGAATATTGAAGCTAATCTCAATATCTTTGGTGAGGACACTCGCTAGTTGATGCTGGTCCAAGTGAAAGTTGGTGATGATCAAACTACAAAATACCTTTACTGAAAATCACTTACATGCCTCAAATGACTAAATGTTGTCGAGTAGCTAGCCACAGATTGTTGATTGACTGATATTGGTCTAAGAACAAGTTGATAAAACTGAATGATGATTAATCGTGGTTACTGATTTCCATTCCGAAAGTATGAGACAACTCACCCAAAATGGCCAAGGGACCCCTGACAACGCTCACAATAAGAATGTGCAGAGGGACCCTAACGCTCTGTTCGTGGCCATTAACCTAGACTGATAACTGATAGTGATACTAGATACTAGAAGACAGTTGGTCTTAGCTGAAAACTAACTGTTTTATGAGTGTAATACCTTGTAGGTAGGTATTGCTTTGATTTATGTGCACTAAGCATTGACTGCTTCTCTTTCTTTCTTAACTGTCTCAAAGGATAACACAATGCTGTACAACTTCTGGTCTAGTTCATGGGTACAAAACACATATTCAATAAGTTTGTGTCGATGATGACTTTATAAGCCGAATGACACTAACTAGAACACTGATTAAATGATGCTTGAAATGTAAAGAAAGGGGTCATAGTTATTAATGTTCACCTTAAGCCGCTCAAAAGGATTAAAACTGATTTTCAAACTAGGCCTCCATGAAACTTTTTGTGCTCTGCCAATGGATGTCTGCATTTACTGCCACTAAAAACAATAATGAACTCCAATGATGATGCTGCCGACGATACATGTATTTACCAATCATTATGGAACTGAGCATAAGTGGTTGAGCGGTTCTTAGCAAGGAGCAAAAAAATCACTAAGAGTAAATGACCTTTCTAGCTCTCGAAACGGTTTCAACTGAGGAGATTGTACTGTACAGTCCTCCATCAACTCCATAGACGTAGAACGTATACTCGATGAATTCATGATGATCCCTTACTCTTTGGATTGAAAGCTCTCTTATTATTTTCTTACAGACTTCAACCTCTTTGGTTCGTTTACTCTCCTAACCCTTTGTTTTTTCCCTGTTGAGAAAGCGAGATGTCGCAAGGATGCGCTCGTTCATCTTCGTGTCTTTCTTGTACTTACCCTTAAATTAGATTGATCAGAATAGGAAACGGTCCTGTTACGAGGTTGTCAGTTATCAGAACTAAAGTGTGGGCTTCATCTTCAATTGCCCTTCACAGACGCCTTACTGAGATTGACCGACTGTAAAGAGTTTGGTTGTAAGCAATTTGTTGCGGGGACTTTTGCAGCCCGCTCTCGTTGGGTGCGCCAACTGTACATCCCGCGGTCCCGTATGACATGATAGGTTCATGCGAGGCACAACTTTCTTTCCCTAAGGGGTTGTCACCACCCTTAGGGGCGTATCCCTACTGAGCTATTAACCCTCGTGCAAAAGCTTTTAGATGCAATTACCGAGGTAGTTCAACCAAGGTTGTTTGCTCATTTGTTGTAGTATAGATACACTTAGTTAACGCCAAGTGGACTTGAACGTCGTTCGTTCCTTAGGGCGCTGATCTCCTAAGTACGAAGCGGACGTCGGTCGGACGTCAGTCGACTACTGTCTTAACCCGAAAACAATGTACGTATGTTGTATTGAATTACCCCCGAAAAATGACTTCTGAAAAATCGCTTCATTTTTTCCAAATAGAACGTACCCTCAAATACAACGTACCGTACGTTGTATTCGAATACAACGTACTGTACGTTGTGTTCGAATACAATATACTGTAGAATACAACGTACGTACGTTGTATTCGAGGTGTTCGATCTCTGCATATATATATTTTTTCTTGGCTTTACATTATTAGAGGATGAACCTATGGATATGCGATGAGCACCTTCAATGGGAGTTCCGCAATTGTGGTGGTTGTCATCTATGGCTGGGGAGATGCACCTACTGAAAACCGGGTACACTATACCTCATTTTGTGAAAGCAGCAAGACGACAAAGATCATAGTCTGGTACCTCCTGCTACAGCAGCCCACCTCTCCCACAGACGTGAGAGTGAATATGTTCAAAGTGGGAGTGCACCACACATAGGTCTCTTTAGACTCTCAGGCCAGCAGTACCTCTCTCTATACTCTTTAGACTCTCAGGTCATCAGTACCTCCCTCTATACCTTGCCTATGACTCTCTTTCAACACTTTGATAATCAGAATGGCAGAATGATAATAAATGTTACCGCCCAAGTGATAAGGGGATGAGTCTTTTGCCTGTTCCAGCCAACTCCGTGCTTAGATCACACACTCCTCATTCTCTTTTCTAACCATTCTTCAAAACAATTCAGAAAAAACTCAAGTTTTATAATATTGCAACGCAATTTTTTTTCTTCTTTTTTCTTTTGAAAACCAAAGCAGTTCATTAGATGCCGGGAATTGGACCCAACCTCCCTCACATCATTGGCTGCACTCTGTGGGATGAGCAAGGAACACCGACCAAGCTCAACCCTGACGGTAGCATTCGAAATCCAATGTACGCCCCAAAGAGAGATCCAAAAGCAGAAAAGAAATAAATACCTCCTTTGTCAACAAGCACTTAAACACTTGCCTAATGTTCGTTTTTCTTTTTTTTTAACATCCGCTGAGAATGTTGGTGGTACTAATACGAGCAGACACCACAAGCACCCGAGAGCTGATGGTTCCAGTCTGTTGGTGGGGAGCAGCACCTGCAGGGAAAGGGGCCTTATGTCCCTTATACATAAAAGTTGAAAGCAAATGATTAGCCTGTCAACATTTGTCACTGAATTTGAGACAAAATTGGAAAAGCAAATAAAATTATAAAAATATTTTTTCTGTTTTTTGCAAAAAGGCAAGACTGCATTAATAAAGTTGGAAACTAGGTCCAGTGCCCGTTGCATCATCTATACTCACTCAACGCCTCTCCCCGTTATGGTCGAGAGATCCTGAGACTGTGGCATTGATTGCTCCCAACTGGGAGGATTGACCAGCGCTGTAATCTTAATTTCTAAAATACCTATTGCTGCTATTGCCTGAGGGTCATGTCAAAAACTGCAACCGAACTTAAAAAAAAAAAAAAAAAAAAAAAAAAAGGTAGGGGCTTGGGAGGAAACGGACGCAGTGGGAAAGCCAGAAAGAGGGAGGGGAAAGAACTGCAACCGAACTTAAAAAAAAAAAAACTGCAACTCGAGTCACTAAAAATGTTCCACACGGACGGTATGTAGACAAAAAATAAAATTTTCCACATAAGAAGAATGACGTGAGGGAGGGGAAAGAAAGAAAAATAAAGTGACGTAACCGAGGTAAAATAAAAAAGAAAGAAGGTAACTCTCAAGTTTCAGTTCCGCCCTGTACTGCAGACAGCCTGGTCACAACTTCAACACATAAAACTCGTTCACACATACAAGGTTCATTTCAAATGCTGGGTTATTGTGCTCAATGACTCGGAAGGAAGAATCTGCAACATCTTGTATGCGGATTGTGCACCTTTCCATCTGACTAACAACATAACCCACATTGTCCTCATCAACTTTGCCACCACTCTGCAACTGTGCAAAATACTTAGTATCGGTGATGTCCGCCAAGTCATACATACCCTTCATCTTCTCTATCACAACATGTATGAACTCCTCACATGTGACAACAGCGTGAGAACCATAAATAGCCCGATGAAGTCACTGCCAAAAACTACACAGTTCTCCTTCTTGTACATCATACGGAATGAAGTACTCAGGGGGTTGCAAAAGCTTCAAATTTAAAGATTCTGGAGCAACAGTAAATTATTGCCCATACAAATCATTCCAGTCATCCATGTTCAAAACCGAATTAAAGAGGGCCTTCAACTGTGCATGGAGCTTGTCCAATTCGAATTCAGCCTTGGGCACCAATCCACACAGATGAAATGAATTTGCGACGTCCTCCCTTGTTTTTGTTTTCATCCACTCGCATACCCATTTTGCCACCATTTGATAAGAAGCGCATCTTGGATTGCCTGCCGTGGTCTACAAACTCGTATTCTCAATTGTTGCCTGAATGTATGCTTCATACTTCCGAGAGTAGTGCTGGTGGAAGGATCTGTTGATGGCGACGTCGAGCGGTTGAAGCAGGATGGTCAAGCTGGGCGAGATGATGAACACATGAATATTCTGCCTTTGCAGTTTTGAATTCTCATGCAATTTAAGGTGTGGGCCATAACTGTCAATGAGAAGCAACACATGCTGCCTCTCAAATATTGTTTGACGTCTGCACTCATTGGTATCCTTAAGGTATGACGTGATGGTTTTGTCGCTCCACATTCCTGAATTGTTCACATCGACAAGTACCATTCCACTTATTTCTGGTTTGTTCTTCAACTTTGAAAACAAAATGTGAGGTTTAAAAACCTCACCAGCAAGAGAAACTGTGAATGTCGCAGTGAATCTTTTGTGCGACGTGCCTCCCTTTCGCAGAAGCACTTGGCGGCTCCTACGCTTAGCAAGTGTCATCGCTGGCTCAGTTCCGAAGTATCTGGGTACTTGGTCCATATTCAATATTTTTTCTTGTGCAATCTGGTATTTGTCGATGACTTCATGTACTTGATGAATGAAGGCTCGATAAGTATCAACTGCATTATCAGGCAAGCACCTTGATGTTGTATGCCTGCGAGACATCAAATTCTTGCGTTTTTTAAATCTGCACATTCACCCTCCTTATGCACTGAACTCTACGTTGTTGTCTACCCTCCCCGTCTCCTTCATTCTCTGAAAAATAAGTTGTGCCTTTGCTCTGATATACTGCTCTCTTACACGCAACCCTTTCTTGTTCTTGTCCACCACCCATGCCTCCAGTTCATTTTCCAATTCTTGGTGTGCAACTTTCCTTCCTCCTCCACCCAGTCGTCGTTGTGTGTGACTTGTCGTCTTCCTATCTGAAAGTGTCTCTTTCAACTCTTTTGCACTCAATACCCACCGCTGCAGTGTTGATTTGTTGATATTGTGCTTCTTTGCTATGCAATTCAGCCCCTTCCCTTTGACACCAGACTCATAATCGTGCAAAGCGTAAAGTTTCATCTTGATGGTATATGATTTCCTTTGCACCTTCTCCCTGTTGTTAGACACTGCACCATCTTTGTTTGTATGAACCATGTTGTGAGATGAAACTTGCAACCTGGCCGTGGAATCACACTGGCCTTGACCCAAACGACCTCCCAAAAAGATAAACAATGTAAATCTTCCTCCAGACTCCAGAGAACCAGCAACAATATCTCTCAAGTAAGCTCTCTCTCGGTCGTAGCAAGGGACATGTTCATACACGCACTGACCTCAGAGGAAAGGGGGGGGGGGAAAAAAATCACTATCGCCAGCAAGTAACTACAGACAAAAGTTTGAAGTGAGCTATGTCGTCCTGCCTGTCCCCCAATTGCAACTAGGTGACTCAGACATCCACTTCACTCTCTCTCCTCCAAGACAATTTCACACTTAAGCGAGAGAAGGTTAACAACATTCGTATTTTTCATGACCACTTCAG